AGAAAAGGCTGCGGTGGAATGTTTGCTCTCTCTCAAATGCCGATCTGCGACGCGGTCGTGTCACGCTTCTCCCTTTTCCGTACCTGCCACGTAAGGAGACTTCTCCTTCCTATGCCGCCTGCGAGCAGAGAGAAGAAAAAAAAAGAAAGCCGTCGCTGGGTGGAATGATTGTGCGGTTGAAGGAAAGGAAAAAGGCACACCAGGGAGCTTTAGTGCTGGGTACCCAAGCGGCTTGCGTACCCACGCAAGCCGCTTGGGTACGCTTGGGTAATACTCAGAGAGTTTTGGTGCTGGGTACGCAAGCTTTTGAGGCGCTGCGGGCTTGGGGCGCGCGGCGTTGCGTACCCAATCCATACCCAACTGGTATGCCTTATAGAGGCGCGCACGCAAACGCAAGCCGCACAAAGGTCACACGTGCTCGCAGCCCCATAGCATCTTACCGCGTAAGTATTATTTAATTATATTTACGATTTAAAATGTTAAATTAAACATACATAGTGACATGAAGTAAACTTTCAATAAATCATTTTTAAATAATATGACAGTCATCAACACGAAACAAAAAAAATCTTTTTCGTATGCGCCACACTTGCGACTGAAGCCGGCATCGTCGATGCCAAGCAATCCAGACGACCGGTCATAGTCCGACAACAGAGCAATGGTGTAACGTGTAACTCTGTGTAACTTTTAGCTTGTACGTATAGTTCTTTACGTTAACGTGTTACGGATACCAGTTTGCGTGTACCGTCATACCGGAACGCGCCTCTTCCAACGTTTTGAGCTTCTCATACATAAACATGTATGCCTTTACGTTTTCGCAAACCATAAATGGTGATGCTAACTGCATTTAACTTACGTAGCAATGAATCACCATTGGGTCAAAATCAGGAGACTTTTTTTATCATGTACAGTATCCTGGTATACTCAAAAAAGTGAAAAATACAAGGTTACCGTAACGATAGTGTCGACATCTTGTGACACTTCGTGCAACCACAGTCATGAACATGTTAGCTTACGTGTCATGTTTTTGAGGTAAAAATGAATAAAAAAGGTTACTCATTTGTAATATTGTCGCTGTGCGGTTTTTGCACCAGACGTACAATGCACAATGTTTCTGCAATAACAATATAGTGATTGTCTGGTTCACTATGGCCGCGATAGATGGCACCACCTATTCAGCTAGTCTGGTGAGCTGGTATATCTTTTTAGTTTCTATGTTCCAGGCCATTCTAGCTTTTGTAATCTGGCTTAAACAGTGTAATCACTATTAGTGGTGCCACTTTGGCTTATTTTAACTCGACGGCTAGAGTATCCGCAGTGCAAGTACTGTGAGTTCTTGCGAAAGTGGACTTTACAAGGCGGCCAATCCATGCTGTCCGAGATTTCGCGCCTTTGTGCCATGCTATTTGTATAGGGCTAGCCACTATACTATTTGCGCTTAAAACTTAAAAGTCAAAGTGGTGGCTCTGGCCAGCCTCGGCTTTGCTCGCGGTGAAGGTAACATGATGCGCCAGCATGTGCGCCAGGGCAGCTTATCTCCGCTAGGAGGCCAGTGGTGGCAGCTTTGTTTCTGGCCGTGCGCGCGCATGGCCCCATCGCCCCAGCGATCTTGCGACGCATCTGTTTGGGGTTTCGTGCATGCGCAATACCGCCGCCCCAACGTCTTGGGTACGCAAGCCGCTTGGTACCCAGCATGGCTCTGCGCCTTGGGGGGGTCTCTCATGCGCCGGTGCCATGCTTCCCCCTTTTCCTTCCCTGCCACGTAACCCTTCTCCTTTCAACGACGCGCGCAAAGAGAGTAAAAAAAAAGCTGCCGTGGAGTGTTGGCTTTCTCTGAATTAGCGATCTGCTTCTCTCCGCGTAGAGCCGCTCCTCCTTTCTCGTCACATGCTGGCCATGCTGCGGCTGCGTAGCGGAGAGCGGGAGCTCTGCTACGCAGCAGTCGTTGTTGTCGTCGTCTTTGGAAAGTGTCAGCGCTGGACATTTTCGCGTGCAACTTCAGGAGAATGCTGAAGCCGAAGTAGAAAGGCTTTGCAAGCTGCGTGCGAAATTGACTCGCTGCAAGGCAAACGTGTGGAGGCGCGCATCGCCGATTACTTCAATTAATAACGGATGTCCTGTGATTTGTGAATAAATGTAAGTCTTCTTAACTTCCCCCTCGTGTGTTAGCTCAATGCACATGCGCTACTGCATGGAGAGCCCTCCGTTTATTTAGCTTTCATTAATTCAAACTTCTTTAAATTCGAACAAACTTTCAGGCCCCTTCGGGTTCGAATTATCGACATTCGTCTGTACTACTACTACTACGACTACAACTACTACGACTAATGCTACTACTACCACCCCATTTCGCTTGCATTCGTCTTTTCATAGTTTCTGCATCGTGCCTTCGCCAACCCTGACAACGCTTAGCTTGTGTTTGGTGTGTCGTCTCTGACCGCAGTTTCAGCGGAGTGACTTGGTGTATCGCAGTCACAATACATGATTCTTGCCAGCCTCTCTAAAAGTACACGCACTGACTGATCCATCCCACAGAAACTGGTAATATACAAACGAGAAGGCTGAAACGACACAGCATGGTGTACGTGCACAAGTAAGCTGGGGCACGTCATGCGCGTGACCTTGCTTGCGCATGAGGTTCTTGGTGACAATGCATCATGTGATTCTCCAGCCCCTATAGCGAAAAGAACAGTGAAGGAATGAGGCCCGCGATGGCTACATGGGACGAGAGGCAAGAGATTCAAGCTAGCTTCTTCGCATCATGCTTTGGTGGCTTGTAGTGATCCAATTTGAAAAATTACTGTGGTAGAACGCTTTTCATTGGGCACGCAAGAGCTTCTAGTGTCTAGCTACAAGTTATTATGTCACCTAGAGAGGGATGCTTAAAAAGTAAATTACAACGATACAAAAGCCACGTGCACATCACATTTTTTACTCGAAGGCGCTGCAGCAGATAGGTTACAATGTTAAAGAAAACACACTTTCATTGACACATCTCAGTACCTTGGCGGTCTAGGCGAAGATAAATGCCTCGGATCACATCGCATCTTTGACTTTCATCGGGTGCACAGTACACCGAAATTTTGTATTGGCTGTTGTCAATCATCAGCCGCAGTACTCGTTCAGCTCGTTTGATGGCCGGGGTATAATAGGCGAATGTGTTCTGTTTGGGGTTTACTTGAATGAGGTCTTCACCACAAATTGAGGCCTTGGGGAAGTTTGCTGCAGCGTAAATGGCTTCGAGCAGTTGAAAGTTGGTAATCTTGGAGAGTAGGATTCCTCCCCTGGGGCAGACGATAAACTTTAGGGCATCGCTGGGCAGCCGAGGCTGATTAGAAGCCACCGAGTTGAGGACTAGTCGCCGCCCACGTTGACGTAGTGTGAGTGAACGATCAGTCGCTGTGGTATCATCATTCGTGGCATTTGAGGTTTTATGGGACAAAAATCGTCCGTCCTGGGTGTCAGAAGTCGGGGGGATTGTGGTTCCTGTTGATGTACGGAATTCACGGCTCTTGTTCACTTGCGTAAGCCATTCGCTGGCTTCAAATTTATTTGGGGTGATTTCCGTGCCCACAACGATCACCTTCATGGCACACCAGCAGCATGCAAGTGCGCTCGACGTCCAGTGAAGCAGGCGGCGAGGCCGTGGCGAGAGATAACGAGTGCAACACGGCGTGTTAAGTTTCATTGGCCTGGAATGTTGTGGGATGGAAAACTTGCCAAAAAAGACTTGAAATGGGTCGACTTACGTCGAAGTAGGTTTCCGAAGATTTCTGGAAACATCAGGAATCCGCTGGCATTGGTGGGAATTCACTAAGATTAGCATTCCCGGGGATGCACGTGCAAGCGTACGGAGCTCATGTAAAGCATGATCTACTCAGCTGCCGAGACAGTGGCGCCCCCCTGACCATCTGGTGTTTTTTAACATGCACTGCCATCACACACGCTACATGAGCCTCTATCAAAATGCGACCACTGCGGCTGGGATTGTACCCGCGACCATCGGATCTACAGCCGAGCACTGTAACGACTATCCCACTGCAGCGTGCAACACTGTGCATATTTGGAAACTCGCAAAAGGCAGGGGCAGGAGGATGAGATTAAGAAATGTTGCATTGCGGCAGAGTTTGAAATGCTTACAAAAAAGAAAATGAAACTAGAAGTCACTGTTGAGGTATTAACAGCTACATCAGACTCAGGAGAGGCAGAGGCAACTAGTCACCTGACGTGCATCATCAAATCAAATAGCCTTGGGAAGGCTGTCAACACCAAGCAGCAGGAGATAGTAGAAATTGGTATGAAAATTCAGGAAAAGCAGCAAGGAGTGGTGTAATAACTGTTCCCTAGTTCTGCCTGTCTGCATAAAAGTTTGCATGTTGTGTCCTACTGAAAGCGATTATCTATGCAACTCTAAAAAACTATGATTGAAAGTTGTCTAGTAAGAAAATGTTATCGTAGTCGTGTTTTCAATGTTTGCTCCAGCAATGTTACCCTTTTTCGGTGAATTCTAGTTATTTCAAGCTTCCACCCTGCACGGTAAATGTGTCCATTGGGTTTCCAACAGACAATGTGGTCCTTGAAAGTTCACACACATAGTCTTGAATGTCCTTGAAAACCCTCAACTTTTTGTCATGTAGATGAGCATGAACCCTGTTTTTTGTTCTTGTGCATTAGCTTTATGAGGTTTGTGGCAGTGCTACGGAGGCGTGGAAATTAACCGTAAAAATCTTGAAAATTGGCCATTGCCTTGGTCGTTTGTACTAAGTAAGAATGACATGAAGTGGGAGCTCGTACTTCCTTTAACAGTCATGGCAGTTTCTTTCAGTTTAACGATTAAAGGATAGTGTCACCAGGTATCACACTTGTGTCACACGGTCATGTTTTATCGTCATCGTTCCTGTTCCGGATCAAATTTCTTGGTTGTGATGGGCTGCTTTGAGCAAGCTGCAGAGGAGAGGGAGCCAATCACTGCAGAAATGTCGGTATTAAACTTTCTTCAGGTGTCTACATCAACCGTACCACCTATGTGAGGCATGGCGAGTCATCGTTCCAAGATTCGAGCTATCGTCCATGCTTTCTAGTGGAATACTTTAGATACCTGCGCTTCTTTACGGACGGTAAGTAGTGGTGACCAGGTCACTTATTGTAAGCTACATCTTTTGGCTACAAATCATCACATGGCTGCTATATTTGCATAGCCCTATTTGTGAAGTAGTTTTATCGGCATTGTGTCAAATCAAACTTTTTAATAGGTGAGGGTTAATAGGTGAGGGTGTTGGAGCTCATGACCTTAAAGGACCCCTGACAGTAAAAGTTCTATTTGCGACTTTTGTACTGCAATTTATAGCTTTGGGTCTAGTAGTCCCGAAATTGAATTTTAAAGGATCTAACACATTGCATAATTAATGCTAGTATTATTAACTCGGCAAAACTTTGTGTTAGTTCAAAACGCCTATTTGAATATCATAAGAAACAAGCGTCCCACAGCTGAGGAGCACTGAAGACTGTGTGCACTCGAGCTTTGGTGACCCTGTTTGTGAACAGGGCGACCCGCAAGGTGAGGAATAAAACAATGTGGGTGCTATGAATGTGTCCCCCTGGGAAAAAGAAAAGCATTCCTGGCATAAGCATCCAAAACTACCTTGAGAGTAACCTGATGACAGAGCGAGAGGGATGAGGCACAACAGCCTCGCCAAGCGCCAATCAGGGTATTGTGTGCAAATGCTCTCTGATGTTAACGATACTCGCCTTACTCGGGAACGTCACATAGGGTATCGGTCAACTTTGTACTATTGGCAATGTTGCGAGGTTCTGCCAACTCAGATGAGCACTCACACCTACTTTAAAAGGCCCCTAAACCACCTCTGATATTTTTTCAAACATTTCAAATAAACACACACATTGTGCTCATAATGCTGTCGCGATCAACGATTCTACACGAGGCAGAGCCTGAGGGCCATTTTCTTGTCAAGAGAATGACAGCAAATGTCTCTGTGAGGCTTTTGTTAAGTGAAGCTTGGCCTCAAACATGAATATGGTTGCACAAATGAAATTTCTATACAATGGTACTTTATAATTGGACCTCATTGACCTATGTTTTATTGTAGAATTAAAGTTCTCTCACCTATATGGTATGACTAAACAGCGCAAGATATAAACAGTCTCTGTCATAAAGCGAACGGATTATCTTGTCATCTGGCACCTGAGCATAAGCACCTTTGCTACATTTTAGGTCTCATAAAAATGTACATTGAAGCAGCAGCTCTCAAGTAAAATTATAGTTGTTTCTGTGCTATGCTAAGAACGAACCCGTTTAATATGCCCTTCATTAGTACAAATTTAGCCATTTTCACAAAAAGAATGCTTCTAGCCAGGCGTGTTTGCGAGTTGTCTGAGCTCTTTGTTGACACTGCCAGCCTAGATTCAACGCATACTAGCATTTCCGTGCAAACAACAGAGCCACAGTGCCAGTTTTCCCTCTAGGTAACTGTACAAAACTGTTTTAATTGAATCACTTAATTTCAAATTTTGACACAGTGCTTTCTAGATAGAAAGAATCTGGTGGCATCCCAGAGTGTATATTTCTCTTTCTTAGAGATCTTTTAATGAAGGAAAGTAACTACTGCATTTTGCAATTGGGTAACTAATGACACAAGGAATAAATGATTAGAAAAGAACTAAATAAATAGAGCACTATAAAGAGTTTAAGATTAATTCATGTTAGAAAAGCTCAGCAAGGAACACAATGTCAGAAAACACGAAAGACAGTTGTAGTGTCCTTTGTGTCTTCTTGCATTGCCATTATACATACGTTGAGTATCAACCAACTCACACAGTATTGCACTCTATTGAAATGCTGTGCAATCGTGCCATAACTCACATCCACCACTGCTTTGGGCACCCCTCATATTCTCTTGTCTCGTGTGCTCTCCACGCCGAGTCAGAAGGCCAGGAAAATGTGTTGTTCTTGCGAGTCCTACGCTGCACTTTTTACTTCAAGCTTCGGCTTCATTCAGTTGCACTTGTAATTAGTGAATCTAGAAGCCCCATCAACTTTACATGGATGTTGTGCGTGAATGCTGAAAACCATGCACAGGTGGTTGGAAAATTCAACCCAGTATGTAATTCTTTGGGTCAGCTGCCACAACAGCACTATACGAACATAGCTGCTTTCAGTAAAACACACACACACACTGCTATCACCACACAGACACAGCTATTGATATAGCTAGCTGGCTTTGGTTGGCAAATAAAAAAAACAAAACACTACTATCGTGAAGTGTTGCAGGCGTCTTGGTAGTTTTGCCAGTGCCTTACGATGCGTGCCATACTTTTACGGTAGCATTCATTTGTAATCTCCGAATATGATAATGTCCTTGAAATCGGTGGTCTTAATTCATAAGCTCTACGGGGAGTTTTCCTCCCTGCATCTGTATATGAACTCTGTGCAAGAAGCCTCGGCAAGATGGTACTTTTTTGCTGCTAGTCTTCATGATGAAAGAATAACTCAATTGTAAGCACAAGCTGAAAACTTTTGGATGCTCATGCAATACTAGGTAGAAATCTCACGAGGTGAAACTTTAAAAGAAACCTCACATTGCATGTGGGTTTTCACAGTATTGACGTGATGCTTTTTATTGTGTTATGATGGAACGAATGGTCAAAATTGAGCACTCGAGTCGTTTATTAGTCTGGCATAAGTACAACTCCAAGTGTGTGAGTCAGCTGGCAAACTCAGGAAGAGTGCTTTTGCAGGAACTTCAAGTAGGTGTAACAATATGAATATTTAAGCTGTTGAAACTCTGTCTTCATGGGTTTTTTTAGGTGAGCTCAATTTTCGAAAGACATCAGAGTGCATCACTCTGATGTCAATAGAAGACAGCACGTACAAAATAGCTTTAGAATGTGTGCAGGAGTGGTGCTAATGCTGACAACACCAGACAACCCGTATGTCTCCCTGGGGAAGCTGCGGTCTCGCCGACCAGCTTACGCATCTGTCCTGCGAGGAAGCTTCTGGCTTGAGGGAACCAGAGTGAAAGCAGTGTTGAAAAAACCTCCTGTGAAGATACTGCGAAATTCTGGCTGTCGGCGAGGTGGCCGGCACAGTGTGGAACCAGACCAAGTCTTTCATCTGGTGGGTCTTCTGCAAGCATTTAGGATCATGTGATATCCAGCACAGGGCACGCATTAAAGCAGGTTGTGTTTGCACATTCACATGCATGCATTCATGTGACGTCAAAAATACTTAAAGGCTCATCGGAAGTGTGTATACGTGCTTTTATCAAGAGAGTTCCCAATAATAAAAAATACTTTTTCCGAGGAAACATTTTAAAGTGAACCTACCCAGTGCGCTATCAAGGAAACGACGCAGAAGACACTTGTTAAACAAAACCTGAAGGGACCAGGAAAATGTATTCCATTTAACGGGAGCTTCGTTTACTGAGAGTGAATGAAAAAGAGTGCAGCATACAAGTATCAAACCAATCTTTTAAGAAGCACTTGTTCCGTTTAAGCAGTTCTGTTTAAAGGATTTTCATTCACTGAGATTCTGCTTAATGCTAAATTTGTATTGGACATAACATGTTTTGCATTAGTGAGCTAAAGGTAGTATATGCTGAATTAATGTAATAAGTTTTCATGCTTACAGATGCAAGTGGCTGTGAGAAAGATCAATGAACATTTAATAATGAAAGAGCTAGCTTAGAATAATTCATTCTAACTTGAGGTGTTACATCTCTTTAATCATGTGGCATGTAGGATGAGACCTGTGGACTAGACTAGAAAAGTAAACACACACGCACACACACATACACACACACGAAAACTGCTCTTTGATGTCAATTCATAGCAACATGAGCCACCCTGCTTAGAATTGTGTCAAGGAAACATGATTATACTGCTTATTTCTTTTCTATATGAAGCATGCAGCTGGTGTGCTCAGGACCTTTTGAAGCCTTAATGTTGTTACGAGAAAGAGACTGACTCGGAAGAGTAGACGCAGGTATATTTACAGCCAGTTGAGCAGGCATTGCCAGTGATACAGTTTAGCTCGCGCCAGTCTATCTTCTTTGTTCTCTTCATCGCCATGCCACTGGAACATAGCATGACCATCCCAGAGCTTTAGAGGTTGTTATCTGATGCACTCTTTTAGCTAGGACTTGATCTGCGAGACTTGGACAACATCACTGGACCACAATGCAGATGATGATGGATAGATGGGGCTGACCTCATAGGTAACAGGTGTTACTTGACACAATACACGGTAAGGTCTCGTGTAATGTGGCAAAGTAAGGGTACCAAGAGCAAAATGTACATCTCCTCATCATACTGATGCTGTTGGTTGGTCTGCAATGCCATCACCCGAGCGCAGGCGAGCTGCCGGGCATGATCGGGTAGCAGGCGTACTCACCGCTGGACGAGGTGTGAGTTGAGGTGGCTGTATCCAGTGGTTAAGTTGGCTCTCCTCCGTACATGAGGTAAAACGGCGAAAAGCCTGCTGTGTCGTGACGGGATGAATTATATGTAAAAGTTGTGTAGGGTAAGGCAAGATCCTAGTCTCGGTGGTCAGGCGACAGGTACATAGTGAGCATATTTGTGAGAGTATGGGGAGTAGCTGGGTTAAATGGGCTAAATAGTCGGGGCTGGTCTCGTGACGATAAAAGGGACGAGCATGGAAGGTACGAGGGGAAGCTTCTGCAAGAGGACCCCAGTGACTTCTTCAATAGCGAGAAATATGCCCGATTTGTTGACACGAGAAGCAGATGTGCTTGTCATTGTGTGTTCGCTATGCAGATAAATGACGAAACGTTGAAGGAAGACTGGTCATGAACATACATGCAGGCATGTATTGGCACTGGAATTTGGTAAAGGGAAGCTGTGAAATAGAGCGAATTCCCAAGCTGGCGATTTTCAGCAATACAACTGCTTGAATGAGGGGCAACGTAATTGAAAGAGAGGGGTCAGGGGACGTCGGTGCCACCGTAGCTGGAGTGGCCGCTTCAAGTTCCCACCTGTGGTATTCACTGTGGTATTCGGAAGGCGCTGGAACTGATGGGAGATGCACCTGCTTTTAGCTTGTTGAAGTCGGCGGCATTCGTGAATAATGGCATGAACAGATGACACGTTGTTCAATACTAACTAATTAAATGCATCGTCGGCGATATGTTTGGGTATATGTGCAACTTTTTTAGGCTCGGACATGTTGACGTCGACCTTGTGGCATGGTTGGAGGACATCCTGAATTTAGTTAAGTAGGGCTGGGTGGAAGTTTGCACGAGTTGATAACCCATTCTTCGCAACTTGTCGACGACCGAAGGGGTTTCCAATAAGCTCACGGATCTGTTCAGTGACGCTTTCCCTGTTGATAATTTTATGCTCATGGGTGTCATACCAGACACGAGGGGTTCCGTCGAGGTAATTGGTGACATTCGCGAGCATGAGCATGGAGTCCTACCTATTAGTGGCGCTGACTTGTTGTCGACGTTGGAACCATTGCGGCCCAAGAAAACGCCAGGGTTTTTGAGGGCGGGGAGCGTCACGAAACTTGTTGCGGACGCTGGGTTGGCAGGCTGGGCAGGAGGCGTGGCTACAGGAAAGGATGAAGTCGAGTCTTGAGTGGTCATGTGGACAGCTGCGAGCAAGCTTCCGCTTCGCAGTTCTATGGACGGGGATCGCACCACTCCACCAAATGTGTTACGAAAAGGAGACCGACTCAGAAGAGTAGACACAGCTATATTTACAGCTGGTTAAGCAAGCAGCGCCTCACCGATACAGATTAGCTTGCGCCAGTCTGTCTTTTTTTGTCCTCTTCATCTCAATGCTACTGGTACGTAGCAATATATTTGTAATATTTAAATTAGAAAGAGTAAAACAAGCATAAAAAATTTGTTTAAATCATCCTCTTCTGAGCATTTCATTGGCCTTAGAACCCCTGTTGTCTCTCTCATTGATGATTGCTGGTCAATAGAAGGCTAGGAGGCACAACACAATGCAATTGTCACTGAGTGGCCACTGATGAAAGTGCCAACTTTTTGTTTTTCCCCAATAAGGAGAACTATGAATGAAAAGTTATCTTTGAGAACTGTCAGCATACTCCACTCCAGAAAAATGTAAATGCTTGAGGAGCTTGAAAAGCCACCTAGGAATAAGCAACTAATTCGGGTCTTTTGCCTTCCCCCAGACGGTCATGGCAGGGGAATAAGCACCAGCAACTGTGATCTGTCGTACCAAGAGATCAGCTTCACAGTGGTGCAACGTCCTTCTCTGTGGCACTTGTGAGTAACAATACCTCGGGGCACCGTCACAACAGCTTTGAAAAAAAAAAAAAAGGGACCTCTGAAATGTTTGTTGCGAGAGCTTAACAACGTTGTGTGATGTAGAGAAAGTGTTAGTAGCTTGACCTCCCATTTTGCATAGATACTCAGCATCACTTTGTAGATAGACAATGTATGTAAAATTGGTTGAGCTTTAATTCTTGTTAATCTAGTTACACACAAAAAGTATGTTCAGCTTAGTTTTTGCAGAATATGCACAAGTTATAATAAAGTTTGGCTTTGTTGCAAATATGATTGCTCATAACAAATGCGAACTATGCACATAACGAATGGCATGGTGAGAAGCTGATTTGGTCACAAGTGACACATTGCAACTTGTTAGCAAAAAAAAAAAATTGCAGATTCCAATGGCATAGTGAGAAGCTGATTTGGTCACAAGTGACACATTGCAACTTGTTAGCGAAAAAAAAAAATTAGCAGATTCCACATTCTATGAGAATCGGTGTTATACGAAGCATGCAAAGGGCAGGTGTTATAAATTTTTTATTGAGTGAAACGTTACTAAATAACGCTAAAAATAGGTACAAATGTTGTACACACAAACGTGAGTTGAACAGTCGCATATGTTTACAGCTGTGTAACTATGCCACCAGCAATGTGAAGATATATTGCCCCACTGTGGTGGTCTAGTGGCTAAGGCTGCTGACCCGTGGGTCGCAATATCGAATCCCGGCTGTGGTGGCTGCATTTTCGATAAATGTGAAAATGCTGTAGGCCTGTGGGCTCAGATTTGGGTGCACGACAAAGAACCCCAGGTGGTGGGAATGTCCGGAGCCCTCCACTAAGGCTCCTCTTATAATCATATGGTGGTTTTGGGGCGTTAAACCCCATATATCAATCAATCAGCATCGTGGGTATTAGGAACACCAGAAGCGGTGAGCTGATATTGTAATAGGCAGACGAGAACATTGAACAAGACAGAAAAGAGTATGAGGTGGACAGACCCTGCAAGCTGGGTGCCATCTTGCCCACCATTAAGTTTAGTCTGTGTGTTTACCGAGTTAACTTATTCTTTTTGTAACATCTTTGGCGGAAGGTGCTGAATACTCACTTCATGCTAGACGAAGCTTCGTTGTGGTCACCTAGTTGCCTCTTCCATGGCGACTGAAGGGAACAATGCCGACCCTTCACCGACTACCGCGCTTTCTCCCTGGCCGGTAGCCCTCGAGACATCCAGGTACCTTTTCTGGCACTGATGGCATAGACATAAAAGCATGGCTGGAGTCATACGAGCGAGTGGGCAAATGTATGCAATGGGACCCAACGCTCATGCTGGCCAACATGATTTTTCTATCTTAGAGGCGCCGCAAAGGTCTAGTACAAAACGCACAAAAAAGAGCTGACTGGCTGGGAGTTATGCAAGCAAAAACTTCGGGAGCTTTACGACAGGCTTGTGGGAAATCTCGGCTGCTGACCCGCAGGTCGAGAGATCGAATTCCGGCTGCGGCGGCTGCATTTCCGATGGAGGCGGAATTGTTGTAGGCCCGTGTGCTCAGATTTGGGTGCACGTTAAAGAGCCCCAGGTGGTCGAGATTTCCAGAGCCCTCCACTACGGCGTCTCTCATAATCATATGGTGGTTTTGGGACGTTGAACCCCACATATCAATCAAGGCTTGTGGGGAATCAGTGCGCTGCCCAAAATGAGCTCATGCGTTGGGTTCAGACTTGCATAGAATCTTGCCTTAAGTACTTTCAGGACGTGCTCGCTTTGTGACGCAAGATGGAGTCTCAGATGTCTGAAACCAATAAGGTTGGCCATGTCATCGAAGGCATAGCAGATGACGCCTTTCACCTTCTTGTG